GCCCGTCCCTTGGAGGAACAGGATCTGGGTTGATGCCAGAGATATGCTTGGGGGCGGAGGGAAAGGAGTTGAGCAATCTGGCCCTGGAAGCTGCGAGAGCCTCTCCTGACCTATGTGCTGGAGGCCTTTCCACAACCTCGGGGAAGGGAACCGAGCCCTGGACCCACGGGCAGAGTGTCCTCAAGGCCAGCACCTCTGGGGACTCGGGGAGGGTGGGATCCTGTTGGGAGGGACTTGTGTGGTGACTGGACGTGACCCTTTGCTCACAGGGCACCGAGAAGGAAGTGAACCCTGAAGGATCCGGCATTCCCACTCACTGAGTCCCTGAAACTCTATTTTAAAATACAAGGAGCCTTGGGCTTCCTTCCAGGAACTCTATCAGAGTCTCTCCCCAGGCACTACCAGCTTGCAGCTTGGGGCTGCAGGCCAGGGAGGCAGCACTGATGTCCAGACCCCCCTCCCCACCCATTTCCAGGAGCAGGGTCTCTGGTGGCCCCCACTCAGCCTCCCAAGCTCGAGAGGGTCTCCTTTCCGGGTCGGGTGAGCCCTGTTTGGGGTTACCTAGCCCATAAGAAACCGTGGGCATTTCCCCCTCGTTCCTTCATCCTCGGGGGTTGAGGGCATCTGAAAAGCAGCAGAGCTGGGACAAGAAGGATCCCTGGGGCTGACCTCAGGGACAGCATCTCTTGCCCAGCCAGGCCGCTCTGACCACCATCTCTTCCCCTGGCCAGCAGGGTGGCAGATGATGTCTGCCAGGGCAGCCTCCCTGGGAGCACCTCAGGGTTCTTATACCTGCATCCAGGCAGTTCTTGGGGTAACTGGACTTGGTCTGCAGACCCCAGCTTCAGATCCGTGACAGTGAAGCCGGGCTCTGTGTTCAGGTGTCTGCTCCCCGCCCCTCCTTCCTCTCTGCACTCAGATGTCCACTCCCTGCAACCCTTCTCCGTTCCTCAGAACGTTGTCCTTGGCCCACTGAGACATCAAGAGGAGCCCCTGTGTTCCCCTTGCCCTTGGGGTTGATGTCTCAGTCAGATGGTGGGAATGGAGAGCCAGAGAGGGTACAGAAGAACCCCTCCAGGGCTGGCAATACCGTCTGTGGACACCTCTGATGAGGATCCGGTGGAGAATTAATCATGTTGATAAGTAACCATTATTTGTTTCTGGTAGCTGGTCCCCCCGATTTCTAAGTTTGCTGACCTACATCTTAGGGAGGAACGGGAGGGCCTTATCCCCTGTATTGAACTGAAAGCAGAAAGAACTGAAGTCCCGCTGAGAGAAGCCAGGCTCCTCCACCTGTTTCCTTAAAGGTTAAAAGGTAAAGAAGAGAGAAGGGAAGGCAAGTGGGGAAAGAGACCAAGTCTAGGGGCTGCGTGATCCCACTGTTGGTCTGGACTAGGCAGTCCACAGATGGGCTTGGAGGCTCCAAGGATACCCCTTCCCCACAACAATTCATCCTGGGGCCGCCAGGGACTTTGAAAGGGGTCAAGCCTGGGAGCCTTTTGGATCAGGGAGTCCTTGGGTGACACTGAAGGTGTGTGTCCTCTTTGAGCTTGGGGAGTGACTGTTGGCAGAAAGTCCCAGGGGATGCTGGAATTGTACCTCTCAAGGTGTAGAGATGGGGCACCTGCTGAAAAAGAACACGTCATAGCATCATTCTCACAGCAGACAGGGAAGCGTGCTCACCCCTTATAGATCCTCGCGTAAGGGCTTTACCTGTGTTCGCTTGTTTCACCTTCACAGTAGTGCTAGGAAGTACGTGGTGGTATCAGTCGCTTTATAAACGAGTAAGGACATTGAGGCACAAGTACCTTGCCTAGTGTGGCCGAGCCAGCTGGTCACTGGGGAGTCTGGCTCCAGGCTGCACGCTCCATCCCGCAGAGTCAAGGTGGAAATTCACCAGCCTGCTCTAGAGCCGGACCTGATCCGCCTGGCTCCCTCTGGAGACTCAGGGTGTCCTTTGACGCCCCACTCCTCAGCTGAGCACTCTGCTCTTAGGAGAAGCCAAGTGAAACCAGACAAGATCAGGCCGATCTGATTGCAAGCCCAGCCGTTTCCTTCTGGGGCCCGGGGCAGGAGCGGGGAGCATGGGGCCCCCCGCAGGCACTCCTTTTCCTCCCCTCCTCCAGCTTCTCCCCTCTGTGCTGGGAGCTGGGCGGCTGGAGAAACACACAGGGACACCCCCACACCCCGACACCCACCCCCACCCCTCCAGGAAGAGGCCCGTAAGCTGGTGAAGCTGCCGATCGCCCGATCGCCCTCGAGCCACTGGCTCCTCTAGGCTTGGCTCCAGAGCTGCCGCTTCCTGTCACCGCCGGGTCAGGGCTCACTCCTTTCCCTCCCGCGCTGGTTAGTGATGGGGCAGGGCCTTTCTCCCTCCATGCCAAGCCTTCCCTGCTGGCCCTCCTGCTCTCCTTCCTCTGGCCTGAAGCATAGGCTTCTGGGATGGAGAGGGAGCAGGGTGGAGAGAGAATGGCCCATCCCTAGCCCAGGAGGAGTGTGGTTGCCCAACTCCATGGACTTCCTGGGGTGGGGGGGGGCGCGACTGTGGTCTCTATGTTGCGGGATTTGTCTTGTCCTTTCCCTGGAGTGGTGGGAAATGAGGAGCCTGGACTTGCAATATTTTAACCTGAAATTCTGTGCAAAGTGGTTGCCTGGTGGGTACTCATGTGTACATAACTTTCGTCAGATTTGAGTCCAGCACCCCCAGCAATGCTTACGGCACTCCCCTGATACACCTTATGGTCAAGTCGGAAAAGCCCAGGGTTCAGAATCGGGCAGACTGGGACAGCTTTGTGCTTAGCAGCTGTGTGACTCAGGGGAAGCATTTAACTTACAGCCTCAGTTTTCTCATCTGCAAGATGGGAATGATGCCAATAACTCCATGGGATTGTTGGGAAGGGCACTTAGGGTCTTTCAAATGCCTAGGACAGTGTTCTTACTTGCCCCTCCAAAAGGGAAGCTTAAACAAGATAAAGTGAAGCTTAAACAAGATAAAGGGAAGCTTAAACAAGGTATAGTGATGTCCATTTTCTTTCTCATGCTTCCTCCATGACCTGTGGTCCAGGGGGCGCGCAGCCACCTTGAAGTCCACGATAGCATCTAAGGTATCATTTCCTATTCTTTAAGCCAGACTGGACATTGTAGTTTTCGGCAATAAAAGGGTAAGTTAATTATCCAAACTGCAGTGTGTTTTTCCTCAGCCTGAGTGACTGGCATTGTTTTCCTAAAACTGTAAGAACTATAAATTCTCTAAGATGGTTGAGAATATCTTTATGAATCTAGTGGTGAGTATCACAATTAACGGAAATACCTCTAAAACAGCATCATCAATAGGAACATAATGCCAGGCACGTAAAGAAATTTTATGGTTCCCAGTAGCTACATTTTAAAAACTACAGACTGATGAAACCCATTTTTATTTTGCTTTAATTTTTTGGCTATGCTGTCCAGCACACGGGGCCCCAGTTTCCCAACCAGGGACAAAACTCACACGCCTGCGCTCAGAGTCTTAACCACCGAACCGTCAGGGAAGTGCCCTGGTGAAATCGATTTTAATGTTATGTTTAAGCCAGTATGTTCAAAATACTGTCATTTTACCATGTAATCATAAAAAATATTAACAAGATATTTTACATTTTCTTTATACAAGGTCTTCAAAGTCCCTTGTGTATCTTACATATATTGTTTGTTTAGTCGCTAAGTTGTATCTGACTCTTTTGCAACTCCAGGGACTGTAGCCCGCCAGGCTCCTCTGTCCATGGGATTTCCCAGGCAGGAATGAATATGGAGCGGGTAGCTGTTTCCTTCTCCAATATTTTACACCTGTAGCACATGTGAGTTGGGATGCTAAATTTCATAAATACCCCCTCGGAATTGGGATTTACAGTTGAAAAAGTAGGTTCACACACTCGAGGTGTTTTAAACATACTTAGGCTTTCTAATAACTGAATCAGGCGTCAGCTTTTCATTTAAAATCATTAAAATGGAAAAAGATTTAAAAACTCAGTTCCTTGGTGGCACTCGCCGCCTTTCAGGCACTCGACAGCCTGATGTGAGTGGGGCTACTGTGCTGGATGACTTGGGTTTAGGATAGCGCTGTAAATGCCAGGAACCCTGCGCCTCCTTGTCAGTAGTAGAAGTCAACATTATGTTGGCAATTGTAGCAAATTTAACAAGATAAGAATGAGGAATGGAGGAGGCAGAATTATTATTAGTTGCAGATGCTGGGTTGGTCTACTTGCAAAGCTCAAAAGATTTAATCATATGGTTGATTAGGGTGTGTAAAGACAGTACAAGCTTAGTAGGGTAGACATTAAATAGATATAAATTTTAAAATTGCAGCTTTCCCATATACCAGTTACCACCAGTCAGAAGATACAGCTACATGAAAGGGGCTGGGTATAAAACCCATTCACAATGAAAGACCATAAAATATACTCAGAGTAAACACGACAGAGTAAATACTCAGAGTAAAAAGACGTGTGTCAGACTTGTAGGAAGACAACCCACAGAATTTAATGGAGAATGTCTAAAAGAGTTGAATAAATGGATATGAAGACATGATGTTGTGATAACATCGACTCTCCCCAAATTAATTTATTGTTTGCTTTCAATCCCAATGTAATTGTATCAGGATTTCTTTTGGAACTTAATAAAATGTGTCTCAAGTCCTTCAGGAAGACTTCACTGCATTAGAAAAGCCAAGAAGTTTTCAGGAAAAACAGTTAAAGTAGGGAGATTATCCTACTGAATACTCAAAACATATTTTACAGAGTGGATAGTATAGACCTGGTTTCGGAATAAACAGAGACCAATAAGCAGGATGTGAAGAACTGACTCATTTGAAAATACCCTGATGCTGGGAAAGATTGAAGGTAGGAGGAGAAGGGGACAACAGAGGATGAGATAGTTAGATGGCGTCACCGACTCCATGGGCATGAGTTTGAGCAAGCTCTGGGAGTTGGTGATGGACAGGGAGGCCTGGCGTGCTGCAGTCCATGGGGTCGCAAAGAGTCAGCCATGACTGTGCAACTGATCTAAACTAAATAAAGCAGGAAAGGAAGTCCAGAGAAAGGGTGGGTGGGTGGTATCTATATCTATATCTATATATATCTGATGAAGGTAGCCTCTGATCCTTTACTCATAATTTATACCAGTTTTATACAGAATCAGTGACTAACTTGGTTATATTTTAATTTTTTATCTATAAATGACCCACAGTTTCAACTCACAGACATCTTTGTATTTCCTTTACTAGTATTTTTATCTCCATGAGTAATTTTTCATTGTTACATTACCTGGTAGTTTTAGAAGAAGTGAGTATTTTCATAAAACTTGGGAGTGGGGAGGGTCTTTTGCTTCGTGGTTTTAGAGCCAGAAATTATAAAACAGATTTAAGCATTTAAAAACTAATAAGCACTCCATGGAAAAGAAAACAACAAAATCACCTCATTGTAGACAGGCATATGATACACTTGCAGAAATATTTGCAAAATACAGTCAACATTCTTAAGAGCCTTAAGATTTAAAGTCATACAAATCCATTGGAAAAGATAAAGGACCGCCCCCTCCCCCGCCCCCAAAATGGGTAAAATGGCTTCCACAAGCAATTCATTAGAGAAATATTTTCTAAAATGCCCTCCCTCTTTAGTAATGGGAAAAATGAAAATGCAAATTATAAGTTTGCAAAAGTGGTGGTGACCGTGGTATTTTGTTGTTTTCAACTAAGGACACCATGATGCCTGGCATTGGGCAGCGTCATCCTCTATGTTGGTGAAACTGTAACTTGGTACAACCTTCTGGAGAACAAGTTAGCAAGCGAAACAAAAGTAATTTTACTTATCTGTGTGTATCCTCCAGAAATGGACCTGGGCAGACTTAGCTGGAAGGCTGCTTGTTACAGTGTTGGAAAGAAACTGAAACATCAGTGGCCGGATGTAAAATAGGCTATTAGGACTTAATCTAGAATAACGTAGCGGTATTTATGAACATGTAACCATTTTCACTCAAATGCGAGCAGTGGTTGGCTTTATTCATCCCTCTATGGTAGAAAGTGCGGCTTGTATTTTGAAAAAAAGGGGGCAGGGAGGGACGGAGAAACACGTCTAAATTAGCATTATCCCAGAAAAGTAGCATGCAAATCTCGTATGTAATTTACGGTTTAAATAGATGCATTTGAAAAAGTAAAAAGAGGTGAAACGACCATTTTCTTTAACTCAGTATATTCCAAATATTATCCTTTTCTAATATGATATCATTTGACAATATTTTAAAATACTATCATTTGAAAAGATTAATTCTAACATGCAATCCCTGTGGGAAATGAGCAAAGTCGCACTCTCTTTTTTGAAGTCCAGTGTCTATTTTACCCTTTAGCACAGGTCAACTTGGACATTTCAACCTGGACTCCATTTGGGGTGCACATTCCGAGCGCCCCAGGGCCACTGGGCTGGGGGCTGGGGGCCCACACGTTCTGTAGTGATGCTGGAGGGGGCAGAGGGTGGGGTCCTTAAGGTCTGTGCTCCACGCCAGCGTCCTGATCACCCGGAGCCAGTTCATCCCCCTCCCCAGTGGTACTCCTCTCCCGCCTCCCCCAGCCCCCAGGGATGCCTGGAGAGTGGGCGGTGGCTGCTCGCTGCTGCGGAAAGCTTGTAGTGAAATTGGGCTTTTGTTCACTTTCCCTTCCTTCCGGGAAGAATCCATCTGCTGGAGGATGTTTATCTCCAGGAAACGGGACTTGTGGCTCCCTTGAGCCAATGAACCCAAGGTCTAGATTGACTCGGAGAGGCAGGGAGGGTGGAGCCAGCGCCAGGCACCCAGCCTGGGAGGTTTCAGGGGAGGGATGGGGTCCAGGTGCTGGTCTTTCCGGCAACCGGGAACCACCAAGAAACACAAGCTGGAGATTGCAACAGGGGCAGGCATGAGAAACACTTGAAGTGGGGCTTCGTGCTGGAGCCACGCTTGACTCTGCTGGGCGAGTCCTGGCTTTTGCTTCAGGGGGTCCTCCCCAACTCTCACCTCTTGGGGAGGGTTCTCAGAGCAGGAAGCGGGGATGAGATCTGGAGTAAGGAGGGGCCTGCCCATTTGAACCATCCCTGGGAGCAGATGCCTGATGGGGGTGTCCATCAAGTGAGTCTCAGTCCCCAGGTCTTAGATAAACAGCATGCCTGCCTAATCCCACCCAATCACCATCTCTGTCCATGAGCACGTTCTCAGCTGTGGACATCTGAATCAGCCAGGGGGTTGTGTCCCCAAGTTCTGCCAGAAACTGGCTCAAAGCACCACTTAGTAGCTGAGAGAGAGAGAGAGCATGAGGGCATTCACTCCATCCGAGCCTCAGTTTCTCTTTTCTGTACAATGGGGGCGATCGTGACACCCTGCGTGCAGGGCCAGGGACCTAAGTTTAATGATGCCGCCACACAATGCCTGGCACGTGGCAGGCATCCAGTGTATGGGAACTGCTGACGGCATGCCTATGTCTGCATTGCTGGTGGTCGGCCAGTGGCTGGGGCCCCGTGTCCTTGTGTGACCCCGCCTCTCTGCGTTCCCTCTGCTCTCTGGTAGCCATCGGGAGACCCGAACTGGGGCTGTGGAAGCAGCAGAGACCAAGCCGTCACCTGCCCAGGGTACCACTGGGGGATGGCCGCTGTGGGAGGCCGGCCTCCAGCTCAGGGCTTCCGTGTCACTGGAAATCGGCCAGTCTCCAGCGTGGGAGTGGAGATTGTCATTTCTGAATTGCTAGTTGTTGGAAAGGAGGTTCTTAGGGGCAGGGGGTGGGTCCTAAGCTCCCTATTTCCCCTGCCACCAGGTTTTATAGGTTGCCCACTTTGTCCTCCCAGGCAACTTAAAACGAGGACATGATAAACTCTGTCCTTCTGGGGGAGGTGCGGATTTAGCAGAAGGGAGAGAGAGAGAGAGAGGACAGACATCAACAGGAGATTTTTTGATCCTTTGATTTGAGAGTATGTGGCCTGAGCCCCACGCCCTTGCCCTTCCCCTCCCAGCCCCCACCCAGTGCCTTGTATGGGCTGCAGCTGCCGGAGCCTGAGAATCTGATAGTTTAAAGCTGGTTTGGAAATTAAAATTTTTTCCTTAAGCCTTTGATGCTTTGGGATTTTTACTATTATTATTATCAAAACAGCACTGCCACATTAAAGGAAACTTTTTTTTTTTTACAAAAGCCCATTTTCCTCTCCAGCCTGACATCACTCCTTGATTTCTCTGCCTGCCCTTTTGCCTTTCTTCGAGGATGCATATGTGTGTGTCGTCTGTGATCAATGCGTGTAAACAAGTCTTAAGTTCTGCCTTTTTCTCCTGCTCGAGGTTGTTTGATGATCAGTTTCCCACATCCTGCGTGGTCTTCATAGACCCCATTTCTTGTGCTTACAGGATAATCTGTTGAGTTAACATGTCCTTGTTTTCTCAACCATTTTCTTACTGCTGGGTGTTAGGCTGTTTCCAGTCTCTTGATATTATGAATGAGGCATCAGTGGCTATCTGTGTTGCAGACTTTTTTCTGCTCTGAAATAGTTCCAGAGGGTGGGTTTCCCACTATGGGGGCTCCTGGATCCTTCTCAATTTAAAGTTAAGTGTTTCAAGAACCTGCCGTAATGGCCGATGCCCCAAGACCATCCCATCCTGGGGTCGTTTTGTCCCTCCCTGCCTGGTGGCATCTGGTACCTGCTGCTCAGTGGGAGGGAAGTCCTCTTCTTCCCCTTTCCTGGTCAGTGCCACCAAGATGGTAACAGACTCAAGAAGGTCTAGCCCCATGCCTGGCAGTGAGTCAAAAGCCCGTGTTATCTGCAAGGATCTATAGAGACTGGGAGATGGGGGCCTGGGCGTCAGCATGCCCTGGGCCCCCCACCAGCTCTGTGGCCTTGGGCACGTGCTCTTCTCCAGCCTGATAGCCCGTCAAGGCCACTGGATGGGATAATCTCTGGGCTGTCCTTCACTTCTCAGTCTTGGGAATCTCTGAAGTTGAGGGCATTGTGGATGGCTCTGTGGGCGTCATGTGGCATTGTGGGTACCACCCTGTAGCACCATCCCCAGGGGCGCACACGAAATCCACGGAGGGGCTTCCCTGGTGGTCCAGCAGGTAAGACTCAGTGCCAGGGGTGTGGGTTCGATTCCTAGTTGGACAACGAAGATCCCACGTGTTATGTGGCATGGCCAAAATATTTTTTTTTGTAATTAAAAAAATAAAAATTCCACCTAGATGTGGGAAGAAAAACACCAGAACTACTATGTTGTATTTTGGCTTTTTTTTTTTTTTTTAAGGAAAACTAAAACCTATTAAGTGATACTTGGATTGACAATAGCCTCATATATAATCTATAAAATATATATCTATGTGTGCGTGTGTATACAGAGTACAGGCTCCATGCTTTAATGTGCTGAGATCCCCACACTCTGGGTCATGCATCACTATTTTAGTGTTTGGAGTAGGGCTGTGGGAATAAAGCCCTGGCTTCCGTCCATGACCCCAGGGCAAATCTCTTAATTTAGTCTCTTCATCTCCAAGAGTATGGTCGCTCCACAGATACACAAGTGGTACAGGAGTTATAATAGTGATATCTCATGCTTCCATCCTGGGGTCTTTTTTTTTTCCCTTAATTTAATTGCGGCCATTCAGGCTCAGATTATTTTGAGACAGGGCTTCTTAATATCCTGGTGCCGACAGCAGACTTTCAAATAGAGAGGGCTGGTGGCAGTGTTAGTGAAGGGACAAAAGCTTCCAGATACACTCAAGGCAGCGAGAGTGACCCCACAGCCCTGCCGAAGTCCCTCCTGCTCTGCGTAGCAACAGGCATCAAAGCTCCTGAAGTCTCTTCTGTGTCTCCTCTGTTCCCTCTGCCGCCGGCCGGCTGTTGGAATAAAGCAGTCTTCCGCTTTCTCTGGGGCTCCTTTTCTTCTCAGGATAAGGCAGATGAGCATTCCAGAAAGCGACAGAGCCTCGGGACACCCGTGGCCCTCCTGGCGCCTGCGTTTCTTGCACAATCTCCTGCAGCGTGTTCTTCCAGCTGTTGGATGTTCTGAGCACAACGCCACCCCCGCCCCTGCCCCATTCTGCAAATTCAGCTTCTTCCTGGTGACAGCGTTGGTTGCACCCCTGAGCTAAAGGCCCCTGGCCTACCAGGCAAGACCCCCTCTGCTGGGCTCCAGCTCCGCTTTGAGCCTATCCTGCAGTCTGTCCTCCGTCTCCTCCCCCATCGGGATGCTCAGGCCCTGAGGTCTCCACCTGCAAAACTGGCCCTGGATGTGTCCTAACCCTGGCATACCCCGCCCCGTCCAGCTCCTTCATCACACCCTCATCCTGGCCCCTGCCCATCTCCACAACCATAGCCTCGTCCTAGTGCACATCCTCTTTGCCCTGTATTACTGCCTCCCCTCCTCTCTGCCTGAAAAAGCTTCTGGTATCCAGCCCAAGGCACGACTGAGCTCGAATGCCCCCTTGTGTCCAGCCATGTTGCTTGGGGTTGGCCTGGGTGGTTAGAAGCGGAAATGCTGGAGGGGGCGGGTGGCTGTGGCCGTGGGTGTGGAAGTGTGAGTCCTCCATGTACCGGGTGAGCTTACAGGCCAGCTGCATGGTGGGAGGCCTGTCCGGCTGCCCCAGAGGAGCTCAGGTCCATCTGGGAGCCGCTGGGCTAGTGACGAGGCGGGGCAGTGCCCTCTGGACAGCCTGCCAGGGAGGATGAGGGAGGGTGTGGTCAGAGTTGATCCAACCAGGAGCCTGGCCTGGCCTCGCAAGGAGGGCTCCTCGCCCTGCCATGGAGGAATACTCTGTGCTCAGTGGGCCAAGAGGAGTGGAATCGGATTCCAGAGGAGGCGAGGGCGTCAGGGGGAGATGCAAGATGCTGCTGTCTTCCCTTGCTCCGCCAGGAAAGCAGGATGTGGCTTCCGGGGTGGAGGGGGGCGGGGGCGTCCCACCCAGGGTGTGCCGTGGGGAGTGGCTGCCTATTTTAGCCACTTCCCCTGAGCTGAGTCACGGGGCTCAGTAGAGCCCCCTCCTGAAGCCACGGCGCCCTGGGGCACAGGCCCCTTCCGGGTGGCACTCAACATCGCCCCCCAAACTGGTGCAGGCCACCTGCTTGTTCTTATCCTCAGAGTTTCACCTCTTCACCCCCAGGTTGCTCCCTGTTCAGAGCTTAGGCTGACAGTGTCATGAGGATGCCGTAAGACCAGAGATTTGAAACAGCCTGATGAGTGGACTCTGACTAGTCCTGGAGCTTCAGCCATAGGGCCCCAGGGCTGCAGGGTCCCGTAGGCCCCCCTTGCTGGGCAGGGCGCCCAGTGAGTGACTCCACCTAGGCCCCCGCTCTCAGGACTTGGGGCGTTCTCATGCTGGAGGTCAGAGATGGCTTGGTTTCTCACGAGCCACAAAGCCTTGTCCCCACCCCCAGGGAGTGAGACCACGGGTGGCAGATAAGCGCTGGCCAGACCTGCCTGGCCTTCCTGGGGTGCGGGGCTGTGCAGGGGCCTAGGGATCTCCCTGCCGGCGCCTCGAGCCCTGACCTCTAGCTCTCCCCTTGAGAATGTCCCGAGAGAGGGTGATAGGATGGTGGGGACCCTCCTGTCCTGGAGCCACGATGGCTGGGGCCCCTGGTCCCCGCAGGTGGCCACGGGGGTCCACACCGTCCCGGGCTGAGTCCTGGGCAGCGGGGCCTGCGGTTTCCTTTCCGTTCTAACAAGCACTTGAGCTCAGGGAAACCGCAGTGCCTGACGTTTCTCCCTGGGCCTGGGGATTCCTGCCATTAGCTTGAGACCCTTACGCAACTCTGGAGGTTCCTGTCACAGATCCCACAACTCTGATCCTTTTCGTTTCCTCCCCTGTTCCTCCCTCCCTCTTTTCTTTTTTTTTTCCTGCCTGAGCAGGCATACAGACTCTCACTCCAGGACTGGGATTCTCAACCCAGGTGCTCCCCCTGCCCGCGGGGGACACCTGGCCAGTGCGGAGCGGCTTTGCTTGTCCCAGTCACAGCTGGGGAAGGGTGCTGCTGGCATCGGGCAGGGAGCAGCCAGGGAGGTGGCCAGACGGCCTACAGGAAGCAGGATGAGCCCCCACCACAAAGGACTCAAAGCTCCAGGTGTCAGTAGGGTCAGCATCGCATTGATCTTCTCCAGCCAGCAGTTGGGGGAGGGAGTTGGAAATGGTCCCTAATCAGAAGCACTACCCACCAAAGGCCAGAAAGAGGCCTGGCGTGGAGCAGAGAGAGCCCTGGAGCAGGAGACCGGCTTCCAGCCCGGCTCTGCCCTTTGGCACATAAATCTGGATACGTCCCTTCGCTTCAGTGAGCCTGTTTTCTCATGCAGAAAATGAAGGAGTTGTGCTGAGAGCCGAGGCTTCTGTGACCAGAGGCGGGAGCTGAGCTGCAGGCAGGTTGAGGACACGGACGCTCACCTTCTATTCTTGCCTCACTGCCCTGATGGCAGCAGAAGCCTGGGGGGTCCTCCAGTATCCAGAGTGCCTTAGAGACCTGATTTGATTTCCTTTGATGCGAATAGTTCTGAAGCTGACACACTCCATTCTCCTCTTGGTTAGCCAAAGAGTTTTCCCTAAAGTTGGCCTGAGACCCCATGGCTGCCCCCAAGGGTCACATACGGTGACTCTCTGCTGGAGCAATGTGGAAGGGATGGCCCTGAGGCCAGTACTTTGCATGTGTGTCTAGTGTAGGCAGCAGCAGACTATGGCCCAGATCTGGCCCACCACTTGTGTCTATAAATAAAGTTTTATTGGGACACAGCCATGCCCGTTTGTTTACATACAGCCTACTGCTGCTTTCCTACCACTGCAAAGACAGATTTGAGTAGCTAAGACCAAGACCATAACTGCCGTAAAGCTGAAAATCTTTGCTGTCTGAACCTTCATGGAGAACACTTGTCGAAACCTGGTCTAGCGGCTCCACGTCTGATAGTTTAGAGGTCAGATCCCAGGGTATAGGGAGGGGTGAGGTTAGGGGTGGAGGAAGCGAATTTTCCTAAGGGTCTGGTGAGGAGGGGGTCATCTCAAGGCCTTTCAGAGACGTCCTCCCCTGACTCTGCCAGCCCGCCTCCCTGGGGTGGCAGGTGAGCCCCGGAGCCTGGCTCCTGCTGCCCGCCGGCCCCGGAGAACTTTGTTTGCTGGAGTGAGGAGCGCTGAGACTGCCTGGGGGCGGGGGAGCACGTGCTGGCAGGGGAACCATCAGGCTGGGCGTCCACAGCAGGATAAGGAACGAGGAAGGAGCGCGTGGGGGTGGGGAATGGGAGGGCGTGGAGACGTCAGGCCCGGAGCCCCGGAGCTGTAGGCTGAGCTGACGCTGTCCTTGGGCTTGGGAAGGCAGAAAGGCAGCAGCCCAGAGACTGGGGTGGGAGGTGGCATTTCGACAGGTGTTTGGTCTGTGTTTGGACAGGTGTCTTCGACTGTGCCAAGAACCGCCGGACGGGCTTCAGTGGCAACGGGCCTGTTGCAACCCTCCGGAAGCTCATGGTCTGGTGGGGAGATGACAGTCCAGCCAGCAGCTGGAGAACAACATAGCCAGTGCCCGCTGGGGCCCGGGACATCCATAGTGCTGGGGGTGTGGGACCAGGAGGCCGGTGGGGTCTCACTGGGTTAAAGCAGGTTTCCTGGAAGAAGTGACATCTCAGATGAGCCCTGAGGATGCTGGGTGAGCCTGGGGACTGGTGTTCCAGCAGGGACCGTGTGTGTCCAGTTCGGAGTCCAGGAGACAGAAACGCAGGGCCAGGGCAGACCGCAGGGGTCACGGAGAGGCGAGGAGGGAGGCAGGGACCGGGCGCCAGATAGGGGGCTCTGTGCTGGGGAGTCCTGGGTGGGTTCTGTTTTAGCCAGAAGGTGAAGGATCGGGGAAGGGGAAGCAGGGCCAGGTGGGATGTGGCGGCTAGCCTGGGGCAGCATCATCAGGAGCAAGGCGTCCTGTGGGGCATCCTGAGTTGCCCCTGGCAACCCGCTCTGCTCAGCCCTGGGCTGCTGGGTTTAGCCTTTGGGGCTGGTTTGGCTTCAGCGTGGGACTTCACCTTGGACTCTGTTTCCCAGTCTTGGACTCTGAGAGGCGGGCAGAGGGTGGACCCTTGGCAGAGCTCAGAGCCCCACGGAGAAGGTGCGGAAGGCGGGGTCCTCACTTCTGGGACACCCAGCGAGGACCGGAGCGCTGGGGAGCCGGTTCTGTGGATCCCTGGGCCCCACCCTCATTCTGATTCAGAGAGTGGGCAGGCCGCCCAGGTCCCTGGAGGTGTCAGCCGCGCTTCCCTGGGGCCTGTCCTGTCCTACCCCTTCTCTTAGGGCTGTGACTCAGGCTGAGGTGTCCACTAACTTCACAGGGATTGAGGGCAGCCAGCTGGAAGAACTTACAGCCTGTCTCCAGACCGGTTGTTTGCGGGAGTCAAGTCCCTCCCTAGTCTGCCGCCTGCCCGTTGCACCTCCCCCGCTAGCTGACGGCCTCCTGGTGGGGTGGGGGAGGCAGGGTGTGGGGGAGACACGGTCCTTTAGACGCAGAGCGGCTCTCAAGCGTCAGGGCAGGCGTGTCAGTGGCTACCTGAACTCCAAAGAGCGCTGGCTTAGCCCCAGAGCCTATGCAGGAGGGAGCCGGCAGGATTCTGAAATTGATCACTAGCTTATTTCACACTGTCTCACTTGGGTGGGAGGGAGGAGGTGTAAATGGCAGCCCCTGGGCCGGATGGGCTCTGGTGCTGGGCGGACAGCTGGGTTAACACTTGCCCTGCTGTGCTCTTCTTGCAGCACTGTGATCGCCTCCTTATCGCCCCTTCCAGCCGCCGGACTTCACCTCTGACTGCCGATCCACCTCTGACCCCCCGATCCACCTCCGCCGCACTTCACCGCTGACCCCCGATCCACCTCCGCCGGACTTCACCTCTGACCCCCGATTCACCTCTGACTTCCGATCCACCTCGGAACCCCTGGTCCACCTCCGCCGGACTTCACCTCTGACCCCCCATCCACTTCCGCCGGACTTCACCTCTGACTCCCGATCCACCTCCGCCGGACTTCACCTCTGACCCCCGATCCACCTCCGCCGGACTTCACCTCTGACCCCCGATCCACCTCCGCCGGACTTCACCTCTGACCCCCGATCCACCTCCGCCGGACTTCACCTCTGACCCCCGATCCACCTCCGCCGGACTTCACCTCTGACCCCCGATCCGCCGCTGCCTTGGAGGCCCCTGTCCTCCGCCCCAGCAGGATGCCCATCCTCAAGCAACTGGTGTCCAGCTCGATGCACTCCAAGCGCCGCTCGCGGGTGGACCTCACGGCCGAGATGATCAGCGCCCCGTTGGGCGACTTCCGCCACACTATGCACGTGGGCCGGGCGGGGGACGCCTTTGGGGACACCTCCTTCCTCAACAGCAAGGCCGGGGAGCTGGACGGCGAGTCTGTGGACGAGCAGGCCCCGTCCTCCTCCTCGTCCTCCAAGCGCAGCCTCCTGTCCCGCAAGTTCCGGGCCAGCAAGCGGTCCCAGTCGGTGACCCGGGGCGACAGGGAGCAGCGAGACGTGCTGGGCTCCCTGCGGGACTCAGCTCTCTTCGTCAAGAACGCCATGTCCCTGCCGCAGCTCAATGAGAAGGAGGCCGCGGAGAAGGGCTCCAGCAAGCTGCCCAAGAGCCTGTCGTCCAGCCCCGTGAAGAAGGCCAGCGCGGAGGGCAGCCTGGAGGAGGCGGTGCCTCGGCGAAATGGGGCCGCCGGCCCGCACTCCCCAGACCCCCTTCTGGAGGAGCAGGCCTTCGGGGATCTGACGGATCTGCCCGTGGTGCCCAAGGCCAGCTTTGGGCTGAAGCACGCCGAGTCCATCATGTCCTTCCACATCGACCTGGGGCCCTCCATGCTGGGCGACGTGCTCAGCGTCATGGACAAGGGGGGCGAGTGGGAGCAGGAGGACGGCGGTTACCATGGCGACGGGGACCCAGCCAGCAGCCCGGCCCCCGCGCCCAGAGCGGCCGGGCAGGAAGGCGAGGGGGGCCCGGACGCGCCCTCCCGCGCCCTGCAGGATGAGGGCTGGGCCGCGGCCGCCCCCAGCCCCGGCTCGGCCCGCAGTGCAGGCAGCCACACCACGCGGGACAGCAGCTCGCTGTCCAGCTGCACATCCGGCGTCCTGGAGGAGCGCAGCCCCGCCTCCCGGGGGCCGGACCGCGCCCTGGCCACTCTCCCTGCACAGCCACCCGACCCCGAGTTCTCCTTTATGGATGAGGAGGAGGAGGACGAGATCCGGGTGTGAGGAGAGCTGGAGGTGGGCGGCTCGCTGTCCAGCTGCACATCCGGCGTCCTGGAGGAGCGCAGCCCCGCCTCCCGGGGGCCGGACCGCGCCCTGGCCACTCTCCCTGCACAGCCACCCGACCCCGAGTTCTCCTTTATGGATGAGGAGGAGGAGGACGAGATCCGGGTGTGAGGAGAGCTGGAGGTGGGCGGCTCTGGGCGAGGTCCCCTCCCTGCCCCCAGCCACGCAGAGGCAGCCAAGGCCTTGACCCTGAGCCTCATGGATGAGGGGCACTGCGAGCCTGGGGGCCCAGGAGGACTTGAAGCTGGCTTGGGTGCCTGACTGTTTTGTTTTTTTTTTTTTTGCACACCCTGCCCTGCCCTAAAGCTCCTAGGATGGGGCTGCATGCTTGCAGCAGGCATCAGCTCTCCCAGCCCCAAGACCTCCAGTGGATGCTGCTGGCAACCCGAGTCCCTGCCACGTGGGGCGATAACACGGCAGCCGGGGTCGCCAGGACTGAGGACACCTGAGTCGCCTCTTTTGTCCTGGCGTTTCTGCTGTGACCGGAAGCGACCATCAGAATAAATGCTTGTGCCAGGTCGCCTGCACAGGGAACCCCTCGGAGGCAAAGCGGACCTAACGTGTACACTAAACGCGACCCCTTCCGGGGACGAGAACAGGATGCAGAACGGAAGGAAGGCTCCAGGCGGCTTGAATTTTCAGTCAAGACGGGGCCTTCCAGGATGACACTAGGCTAGGCCACAGCCCTAGCTCTCTCCCTCTGCGTCTGTTGGTTCTTGTGTTTAAATCTTTCTAGAGCAATACCGGGAGCGGTGTTGTAGACCCGCCACTGGGAGGAAGACGAATCCTTTTAGAAAGACCTTTATACTAAGTGCTTCCAAACTTTATTTAGAGCTGTATGGGGTGGGAGGGGGTGGTCTGTGTGTGTCTGTCTTTGGCCCCCTCCCCCATAGCTGTTAACAACTGGGCAGGCAGCCAGTGTAGAAAATTTCTGGAAGATGATTATTAAAAAGGCTGTCATTCCTACGGGGGTGGGGTATAAAACCTTTCTTTGAATTGGGTTGTTCCTTCCCCCTCCCTCAACCCGGACTGACTACTTCCCCTTCCTCTCTCAGGCCTCTGTCCAGGGAACCCCCTTCCCCACCTCTGAGTCAACAGCCTGGAGAGCAGAGTGTTGCCAGAGCTAGCAACAAAACAGAATGCTGAGTTAAATTAGAATCTCAGGCATACAGAGGATACTGTTTTTAAGTATGCCCCCTGCCTTATTTGGCACATACTTAGACTAAAAAGTTAGTGTTTTTCATTCTGAAATTTGGATTTCCCTGTGTGCTTGAGTTGAGCTTGGGTGTGAGCCCCAGAGTTCAAGCTGACTCACCTCCCCACGTGCCCTTGGAGCCAGCGGAGGGCGGGGGCAGACAGAACCAGCACGGGGTCCAGCCGGGGTGGAGGCAGATGCGCACTCAGACTGTAGCTTAGTGTTTGAATCAGGTGCCCCTGGTTTCCATCAGCTGCCCTTAAAACCCATCTAGACAGTGGTCAGTTCCAGATTTTAAACTGTATATTTTTTTTTTTTTCATGAAAATGTTAAAAGAGCAAGGAAACATGAAAATAAAAGGCTCTACGGCATGCCTGGTGTTCTGTCTCTGCTTTTGGAGTTGGGGTTATTTCAGGATGTGGGGCAGGGTAGATAGGAGGGTGCAGATGGGGGGACCTGTGGCTGCCCGAGCCCCCCCCACCCCCCACAGCCCTCGAGGGCCTGAGGTGGCTTCTCTCTCTGTCTCGGGGGTCTGCCCCTCCTGCACGGTTCTCCAGCTTCTGGAAGGACATGGCCTTGTGTGCCCGTCTGCCCAGGCAGGCCCTTGGGGGCTCTGGGATTTGGTGTCCGAGCTGTCACTTAACCTGATGGGGTCCCCGGGCACTTAGTTTGTGCCTCGTTCTTGTCTACTAAATGGGAATCCTGCGGCTCTCAGGGCTTCCCTGGAGGCTCAGACGGTGAAGAATCTGCCTGCAAGGTGGGAGACCTGGGTTCGATCCCTGGGTCGGGAAGATCCCGTGGAGGAGGGCATGGCAACCCACTCCAGTATTCTGGCCTGGAGAAGCTCCATGGACAGAGGAGCCCGGCAGGCTACAGTCCGTGGGGTCACAAAGAGTTCGACACGACTGAGCAACTAAGCCATGGTGTTTACCACGGTGTTTCTAAACCCAGGGAGGTGGCTGACCCGCGTGGGAGCTGTCAGCACCAGGACATACAAGTCAAGTCAGGAAAGAGGCCACCCTGCCCTCCCTCCCTTTCCCCATCTGACCTGGCGGATCACCTTACAGAGGTGTGGTCTCCTTCCAGTCTCCTGGCCTGGGAGGCAGACTCTGGTGTCCCCATTTTATAGAAGAGATGTGTTCCAGAGGCCACAGGGCCACCTTCTCCAAAGTCACCAAGTGGCAGAGTCAACAGGACTGATTGGAAACCCTTTCCACACTCGTAGGCACCTCGAAGCTTGGTGACTTGGGGAAGTGAGGCTGGGGTGGGGCAGCCCCGAGTGGGACCCCGGGAGCCCAGCGGTCAGCTCCCCCCTCACCCCTTCCCCTCTGCCTGGGTGCATCCCTAGGGTGCGACTGGCAGCCTGGGTGGGGCTGTCTCTGCCCCTCCAATGCCCTCCTCTCCACCTGGGGGCCCTCGGCGTGGCTGAGATCTGAGGTCGGGAAACCCTGCCCCCATCCCGGGAGAAATTGGGCATGTACTCATTGTCCTCCTGGGGAACAATTAGAAGTGTAATTAAACTGTTGCCAAGTCCCTCTGTCCCTAGACTGGCTCATTAGAGGTAATGAGAGACAAAGTTATGAGTAGGTGGGATGGTGGCTGGGGGGTCGGGGGGACACCCAAGCCCAGCGGGAATGATGGGTCTCCCAGCTCCAGGGGGATTGGAGAGAGGGATGCTCTGTTCAGCAAAGGCTCAGGCAGGTGTGGGGGCCGTGCCTCCTGGACATCGTTATCCCCCCACCCACTGCACCCACAGCCACTCCGCCAGATCCCTGAGGGGCTGGGAGCAGCTCCCCAAGCTGCAGACCTGCTGTTTGACGGTTCAGGACCACTCGGCGGCTTGCAGAGGCCCGGCTGGACCCACACTTCAGAAGCATGCTTTCCGACCAGGGGCTCCGCGGGCCCACCAGACGAGTGTGGGATAACCACACAAGACCAGCCCAGCCAGCGTCACGGACCTTGGTTTGCTGTGTGGCCTTGGGCCAGTTCTGTTCCCTCTCTGGGCAGTTTCAGCTTCTCCATCTTTAAAATTTAGGCTCTAGTTCAGTTGTTTTCAACTTTGTTTTAAAAAACCAGAAGTTCTTTTTGTCATGAGGTATTATACACACAGATGAACCAGAGCTTCTCTGGGGCTGGGGGCAGCCGTTGGGGGGCGTGGGGGGTGGTCCTTTCTCCCCTTTGGTCTCTGAGGTTTGCCTGAGAAGCCTAGGACCCCCACGGAGCATCTCTCTCCCTGAGTTGCTCTGTAGGGCTCCTCTGGCAGCTCAAAGCAAGAGCTGGGAACTCTCTCTGGGTAATAACTCAGTAATTTTAATTCAGATTGCAGCTAACATTTCCGAAAATTTCATGGGACCCCCAAAACCTGCACCAGACAGGGCTGCAGTCACAGCTCAGAGATGTGTTAGGACGGACCCCACCCTGGTCCAGCCACCACCAAGGTGCCTCCCCTCGGCCTCCCCGATCTGTCGAGGGGCTCTGCTCTTTGCTGGGTGCATACGGCTCTGCTGTGATCGCGTGGGGGCTGTGTGTGTCCTAAGCCTGTGGCTGGGCCACTGGGCTGGAAAGTGGAGGAGGTGGATATGGACCAGGCACCAGCTCCAAAGCCCTTGCTTGCGACCGCTATCCATCCTAACCTAGTGATGTCCACTTTGGAGCCTGGGATGACCAGGTGGGGCCAGTGACCTACGGGCAGAGCTGCGCACAAAGGCTGAGCTGACAGCCGGGCTGGTCGGGGTGTGCCCGAGAGGAAGGGGGGGTGTGTTTGCAGCCAGGTGAGGGGCTGTCGGCGCCAGGACCCTTTCAGCAGCTACTGCCGCTTCACATCATCCAAAGGGCTCTGCAGGTGGCGCCTCTGCCCTTCCTGGGGTCGCTCGGGGCTGGCCTCTGTCTCCAGCCGCAGCCTCGTGCCCTCCTCCTGGCTGGGGTCCAGGCTGGCCCCAGAGGGCACCCCTTTGCCTTCATTCTCACACCCCAGCCACCGCCTCCTCTTCACCTGGGTTGTGCCATGTTCCCAGAAGGTGGACACAAGAAATAGAAAAAGGATACAAGGGGTCAGGACACGGACTTGCCTGGCGGTCCAGTGGCTAAGACTCCTTGCGCCCCCTGCAGGGGATCTGGGTTCGACCCCTGGTCAGGGAACTAGATCCCCCATGCCACAACTAAAGTTTTCGCATGCCACAGCTAAGACTGATAAAAGAAGAAGGGGTCAGGACACCTGCAGGGAGGGGCTTTCTAAGGATCGGCACACTTTAGGATCTGGTTCACCGCCCGCCTCCACCCATTCTACAGATGGGAAGACAGAGGCTGGAGAAGGCAGACCGGCTGCAGTCCTGTGAGCAGACCCTGTGAGGTGGACTGGGCTGGCTGGCTCTGCGGTGGGACAGACGAGGCACAGCCTGACCAGGTGGACTGTGTGGGGCAGAGCCAGGAGCCTGCTGGTCGCCAGGGTGGCAGAGGGGGCAGGGCTGGCTTTTCCAGGGCTGTCTGACACCCCCGCCCTTCCCTGTCTCACCTTGGCTTTCACACAGCCGCCTCCCAAATGTCCAGAGTCCACACGTGGGTGGGGACCCTGCCTGGCATGGCCCCTCCCTTGCAGTAATACCTGCGTGCAAAATACCCCTAAGAGGAGAAGAGGGTGGCAGAGAATGGGGTGGTTTGATAGCATCTTCGACTCAATGGCCCTGAATCTGAGCAAACTCCAAGAGACAGTGAAGGACGGGGGGCCTGGCATGATGTGGTCCACGCTGCAAAGACTCAGACATGACTGAGTGACTGATCAACAGCAAGACTACCCTAGACCCCAAAGACCCTGAGTCAAGATGCAGGCAAGTATGGGTAAACAACAAGGTCCTGGGACTTCCCTGCTGGTCCAGTGGCTAACACTCTGAGCTCCCAGGTCAGGGGACCCGGTTCAATCCCTGGTCAGGCAACTAGATCCCACATGCCTCAGCCACGAGCTCACATGCTGCAACTAAGCCCTGGAGTAGCCAAAATAAATAAATATTGAAAAACAAAACAAACCCAATCTTCTGAATAAATCATAATGGAAAAGAATATTTAAAAAAGAATGTATGTATACCTGAGTCACTTCGCTGCACAACAGAGATTGACACAACAGGGTAAAATCAACGATACGTCAATTAAAAAAAAAAAAGAATGAAAAGAAAAAGATTCAGGAGAGCAAAGTCAGGAGTGAAAGCGGGCAAGCTTGTTGATCGACTTCCCTTTCGCAGGCTCCTGGGGCCCTGTGGCTTCCTGCCAACAGCCAGATGGGAGCTGGGGAGAAGGCTTCGGGGGAGGGAAGGTATTTGCAGGCAGATGGAGGTTGGAGGTGTTGCCTCTGAAGCCTGTTGCTCTTACACATGGAGCTTCTGTTCTCCAAAACGAAGACTCCCAGGAGGAGACAGGAAGAGCCGGAGAGCTGCCTTCCCGGGGACTCCAACCCTGAAGTGACACTCACTATGTTTAAAAAAAAAAAAAAGCCAAGGCCACGGAGCTTTGCTGAATTTTGTGGGTTTTTTTTTTTTATCCTGCTTTGTTCCCAAAAGAATTGGAGGCAGCTTACAAAAATACGTAAAATACAATAGGATAAAAATAGATCAGAGAGAAAACTAGGCTGGAACAAACAGTACAGTGAACCAAGAGGGTGGAACACAGAAATGAACTCCAGCGTGAACTGCAGATCGGGCTCTGAGCTTCCTATCAGTCAAAGCAAAGAGGGAAATCCACCCGATACGAGACTCACAAAGTCCACGCGGTTGGACCAATTCCAGAAGCGGCTTTTTCTGGCACTGAGTTCTTTCTGAGAGCAGTTCTTGTGAGAAAAGAGGGCAGGGCTGGGGTCCCAGCCGGTGTCCTTGGTACAGTCTCATAACAGAATGGAAACGTGTATGTATGGCGGAGTCCCCTCACTTTTCACCTGGAACTATCACAACACGGCTAACTGGCTATACCCCAACAGAAAATAAAAAGTCAAAAAGGAAAAAGCAAACAGCCTCCTAACAGATTCAGTCAGGCAAACAACGTCTCTGCATGTCAGTGTAAATCAAGGGCTTGATGCCAAGGCACAGGTCAATAAAACCAACTCTATGGAGGGCTGGGCCCAAACTATCCAATCATTCATCCGAGAGAGGCAGTTTCGATTCTTCCAAACAGAGCGGGATTCCTCAGCCTCAGCATTGTGGTCACGTGGGGGCCTGGATCCTTCATGGTCGGGAGCTGCCCCGTGCCCCGTGGGGGTGTGA